TCGTCGTCGTTGTCAGCGGCACCACAAGCATCGTAAATATACATTGCCCCCTAGTGCCTGTCAACTTCCACATCATCTTCCATATTGCTCCCCCTCCACGTGCCCTCGTCACCCTGTCTGCATGATCAATATTTTTCGCCTGCGTCTTTCTCCTCCCAAGAGAACCCGATAACGCCCACAAGCCTTCCAAGGAGCCTCCAAGGCGCCTCCAAGAGTCTCCTAAAAGTCCCGACGACGACTGGATGACACGTTCTCGTAAGGAGCTCTGGACGCTCTTTTTCGATAGGCGTAGAAGCTGCGCCAAGAGAATATGGATCTGCTGCCTTCGTAGAAATGCGCGGGAGCGCTGCCAAATCCGCCGCTCCTTTTAATAACGCTAGGCTATATAATTTTGACACGCCACCAACATGCAACGTATCCGATGTATCCATTGATTGCATAATTTCTACATATCGCATTGGGTTACATTATCATGTCTCCCCCCTTCGCCCCCCCCTGGGGCCACCCCGCATCCACCGACCCAACAATGGCGGACCTCTTCTGGGCCCATACAGGTAAGAATTAGCCTGGCGAAGGATCCAACCATATGCAGTTGTAAGTACCGCAATCGTGGGTACCATTTTCGACTGCGCTCCGTATGGGGCCACGAACCGCGCGAGGGGCGCGCCGACCTCCGCGGCGGGGCGCGCAACGCGAACGAAGACGATAGGTCTGCGTGCGAGAGACTGAGGAGCGGGCGAGTCTGAACGCGAGGGAATCAGATTGTGAACGAGTCTTCGCGCGCGTGAATCCACGCGCAAGAAATGTCGACGCCCATGTCGGCGCGCCCCCCGCGAGGATCGCGCCCGCTTCCTTCGTCCCTTCCGTGCGGCGCCGCGCCCGCGCGCGCCGATGTCCAAAACTGCGGGCGTGGCGCCGTGCGGAGTCCCCGCGACCCGCGCCGGTCGCCTCGAAGGGGTCCCGGCGGCGCGCGCGGGTCGTCCGCTGCGCGGAGCAGAGAGAGCTAGCTGGCTGGCCAATAGCGGGCAAGGCTCTGGCCGCTGGGCAGAACGACGACGGGGGCGAGCGAGGCGCTGGGCAGAGCGCAGCATGGAGTTCCCACGACGCGCGCTGGTCGCCCCGAGAGGGTCTCAGCGACGCGCGCGGGTCGCCCGTGGCGCGAGGCCAAACAGTCAGACCGTCGAGAGACGCGAGTCTCGGGCGGGCTGCTCCTCAGGTCAAGCCTCGCGGATCAACTCGGTGAAGCCCAGCTCCCTGGCGAGGGCCGTCGCCTCTCGGGCGTGCCAAAATGGGGCGGCGCCGCCATGCGAGCTCCGCAACTGGGACCTTAGGTGCAGCTCCCTCTGAGGGAGACGGCGACGCCATGCGAATTCCGCCACTGGGACCTCAGGTGGAGCTCCCTATGGGGCCACGAAGCGTGTGAGGAGGGCGCCACAATGGGGCGGGGTCGCCATTCGAACCCTGGTAATGGGGCCTTCGGTGGAGCTCCCTATGGGGCCACGAACCGTATGAGAAGTGTGAAAAAATACGGCGGGGCCGCCATGCGAACCCTGCCACAGGGGCCTTGGGTGGACCTCCCTATGGGGCCACGAAACGTGTGAGAGGTGTGCCAACATGGGGCGGCGCCGTCCTGCGAGTTCCGCCACTGGGACCTCAGGTGGAGCTGCCTATGGGGCCACGAAGCGTGTGAAAGGCGTGCCAAAATGGGGCGGGGATGCCATGCGAGTTCCGCCGCTGGGACCTCAGGTGGAGCTCCCTGTCGGGCCACGAAACGTGTGAGGGGTGCGCCAAAATGGGGCGGGGATGCCATGCGAGTTCCGCCACTGGGCCCTTAGGTGGAGCTCCCTATGGGGCCACGAACCGTGTGAAAGGCGTGCCAAGCTGGGGCGGGGATGACATGCGAGTTCCGCCACTGGGACCTTAGGTGGACCTCCCTATGGGGCCACGAAGCGTGTGAGGGGTGTGCCAAAATTGGGCGGGGATGCGGTGGAGCTCCGTATGGGGCCACGAAACGTGTGAGGGGCGTGCCAAATTGGGGCGCGGATGCCATGCGAATTCCGCCACTGGGACCTTAGGTGGAGCTCCCTATGGGGCCATAGGGGCCACGAAACGTGTGAAGGGTGTACCAAAATGGGGCGGGGATGCCATGCGAGTTCCGCCACTGGGACCTCAGGTGGAGCTCCCTGTCGGGCCACGAAACGTGTGAGGGGTGCGCCAAAATGGGGCGGGGATGCCTTGCGAGTTCCACCACTGGGACCTTAGGTGGACCTCCCTATGGGGCCACGAAACGTGTGAAGGGGCAGAAGCAAGTAGAGGGAGGAGGGAGGAGGAGGAGAGGAGGAGGAGGAACGCGGGGCACCATCTCTTCAAAGCGAGGACCCAACACCACAGGGTGGTTGGGAAAAACATTGAAAATCAATGATTTGGGCCTCCTGGGCCTGTTGCGGGTCTAAGAGGCCGTGAAGACGGCTCAATATGGCCTCAATACAAGCGAAGACGTCCCCAAGACGGTCCAAGATGGCCCCAAGAGGACCAAACGAAAATCCAAGACGGCCTTAAGAGGACCTCCAAGAGCGCCTCCAGAGGCCCAAACCATCGATATTCTGGTTTTGACGAACCCTATTCAACGTTCTCGCCTTAGAAGCCCATGAGGCCCAAACAGCCTCCAAAATGGCCCCAAGACGGCCCAAGAAGCTCCGAAGGCCTCTACACGGCCCAAGCGACCCTTAACACTGCCCAACTCAAGAGGACCCCAAGAAAACCCCGGAACGGCAGCGAGGGGCCCCCAGGACGGCCTCCGAATGGGCCACACGCAGCACGAACGCCCCAAGCGGCCCAAGACGCCCCCAAGAGGCTCCAAGAACCCCCCACCCAAGACACCTCCAAGAGGCCACAAAGAAGCTCCCAAAAGGCCCCGCAACGACTGGACTGTACGTGGTCCGGACGTGCACCCCGCGAAGCGAGAGGAATCATATTGGAAATGTTTGTTCCCTGGGGGCATTCCAAAGAGCGCGGGTAGTCATCGTCAAGGCACGACTTGCACGTATAATTCTCCGAGCGAATTTCTCGTATGTAGGTGGACTTGCAGACGCACTCGTGCACGCTAGCGGAAGCATCGTGCGAAGTGGTCAACGCTGGGTCTAAATCCGCGCACCTCTTGCAAAGTCCGTTTTCGGAAAAAGTGCCAATGGGGCAAGCCTTGCAACCGCGTAAGGGTGGAGAACTTTCTTGCAACTCTGGCTTGTCAAAGCCATCTGGACAAAATGATCGCACCAAAGAAAACTTTAACCAACCACCTCTGCGACCATTCTTGTAAGATCTCCAATAGCTTTTGCCGGCTCTGTGGGAAATCTTATTCTCTATTCTCTTCAGCAGGATCGCTCCCACCTGTGAAGTGAAGCTCATGTTCATGAACGAACCGCCGCCGCTCTCTGTTGGATTTTCTCTGGCGACGTTGAAACCACCGCCACCACCTTCGCAAACATCTCGGATCTTCTGCGTTTGCCCTCCTCCACCGCAGAATCCACCAGCCCTGCCTGGGAAATGAAAGTGCTGGCAGACAGCACCACCCCCAAAACCACCCAGACTTAAGGTAAATTCTTTGTGCTGGTGATACCGATCCGTGCACTTCAGCTCTCCCCCGTTGAATGACAGGTCTGCACGTTGGAATCTAGCACCATTCGTGAAAGACGTTGCAGTGTCAGTGACGTTGGCCATTGAGATGTTCTTTGAACAATACCCACATGTTAAAGCACAGCCTTGCAGTAAGCTGGTCACTTCTTCGCTACTATACCCATCCTCAGCTGCAACCTTTGCGCAATCATGGTGCCGCCAGTCTGAACAGGAGTACCCATTATGATCTTCGAAGCCTGCCTCGTCAGTGCAACAATAAGTCCAAGGATTGCGGCTCCCCTGACAGGTAAAACTTCCTCCACCGGCCACGGACAAAAGATGGCTGTCAATCCAGATCGCCGAAGCACCTCCGCCACCAATCATATACTTTACTTCATCAGGGGTTGGACCTATCCCGAAGCAATCAACGGAGGACATGGAATAACTCTGCGCACTCCGCCCCACGAGAGCTGTGACATTCACATGTTCTTGAATATCTAACATAAAATCAAATGCAGCACCCATCTTGCCTTCGATGTCTTTATCTGGTGATCCCCCTGATGCACCTGCCAGCGTGACGTTCCAGATTCCTGGTGGCAGGAGGAACGAAAATAGCCCGTCGTGGGATATCGAAACCCGTTCGGGGAATACTGGATTGTCGGATTTCGTTGGTCCCCAAGCTGCCATCTCTGTGCTATCTGTTGCCAAAATAAACAATGTTCCGGATGAGAAATGGACTTCGTAAGGAAGGCCTCCGGCCCCTAAGAGAATGTCCACAGGCCATCTTCCCAGCTCTAGCTCCGTCTCAGTTGATTTCATGTGCGGTGCAGATGATGCCAACGCCAACCAAACGACTCCCCGACCCCTTCCTCGCATCGTTGCTCGACATGCCTGCATACCACCTCCTGGCTGACTGAGCAGAAATGGCTCCGAAGGTTGGTTTTGACCGTAATGACCTTGATGACGGTGACGGCGGTTTAGTGGCGATGATTGCGGCGGTGATGGTGCCGAAGACCACAACATGGTGATGCTGGTAACACTGGTGATCATGGCGTCACTTGTCTTGGTAAGAGCGACCGAAAAAACCGCCACCGTACCGCGAGGTGATGAATGGAGTGTCCTCCGGCCCACTCAAAGTCTCTGCATGCTCTTGAGTATTGTGCCCGGACCACCTGCGTTTCGCGCGATCGGGTTCCAGTGTGGCTACCTAACAGCGTCTGTTGCAAACGCAGCTTCGCAAACGCTTCCGAATATCATTCTCAGAGCTCTTGGCGGGAGGTATGTGGGACGTGTTGCCATGCGCGGCCAGGGGACAGTTAAGGGAACGACAAGGTAGGACATGATACAAGGACACGGAAGATGAGGTGGAGAAGGGAATCATACTTTTGCCTTCGCACAGGCCACAGATTTTGAAAGGAGAGCAGATGCAACGAGCTAGGACTGCTCCTGCGTCTGCACAAATTGCATGCCACAAGGGGGGGTCGATCACGCATGAATTCCATCCCTCTCGCGTAGGAACAGGGAAGCATGTGATGAGGAGGAAGGTGAACAGTAATATGAAGACCCTATGGACATGTAGACGGACATGAAGATGCCACTGCCATCGTCGTCCTCCCCTCCAGCGCGTGTCCGAACACTTGGGCTCATGGAGGCCTCGGGATTCGACTTTTGGCCCTCTTGGGGCTCGCTGGGACCCTCTTTGGGCTTCTCGGGGCCAACCTGGGGCTGTGGGGGGGCCCTACTGGGCCCCCCAAGCGCTCTCTTGGGCTGTTTTCGGGTTCTCTGGGTTTCTTACGGAAACTCAGCTGGCCATGTTGGAATATACTGGTGCGTTTTGGCGCCGTCTTGGGGCTTTCTTCGGGCATTGGGCAATTTGACCGTTTTGGATTATTCCTGGGCGTCCTGCCGGTTTCCAGGCGGCCTCCTGTGCCATCCTGGAAGCCTCTTGGAGCCGAACCAGCCTTCGCAAGCACCCAAACTGGCTGCGAGGCATGGGGCCGAACATGGGACGCCCCTGGGCCCAAGGACCCAGTCGCCAGTTATATCATTTAGATACTCCTATTGGGTGGGCGCGGGCCATCTTGAAGGTCTCGTCAGGCCAGTTGCTTCGGGCCCTCGCGGGGCAGATTGGGGCCACTTAAGGCCCGTTTCTTGAAGGCATGGGCGTCCCAAGACTGACTTCACAATCGTGGGGCGCTCCGCGTCCTCGCTTTCTGATTGCCTTTGCCGGAAATCTGTCAATCGCGCGCTCTTTCGCCCAGGAGTCCTTCCAGATGCATGGCTCAGTGGTGGTGGCCTCGAAGCGTGGTGTCGCAGCTCGTATTTTCTCGGCGTGTCCTGATGGTGTCGTACTGTGTGGGGTCGCAATGTCGTGTTGAAATATTGGTGTCGCGGTTTCATGGTATCGTGGCGAGGTGGCATATGATGGTACAACCGTCTCGTTGCGAGTGCGCCTCATTGCAGTAAGCCCATCGACGAAACCCTCTACCCTCAATCATCTTCTTACCCCTTGGGAGCACGTAGGGGTGCGGCGTCGGAGGAAGGTAGCAACCACTAACAGAGGCAACATTCTCCTGTACCCGCCTGGACGCGCAATCTCACCAAACACACAGCAGCGCCGACAGCAACAGGTGAAGCAAAATCGCACGTGTAACAAATGTGGCCTCCACCTCTGACTCCACACTCCTGGACAATCGACTGCGGATCCAAATCCAATGCTTATCATGCTGTTGAAACCCCGACCTGGCGAGCTTCCTGTCTGGCACCTCATCGATGCTGGCGGGCGTGGAAATGCAACAACAACGCAACTCAAGAAATGGGAACGTGGCACGCCCGAAGTGGTTAAGGAGATAATCGGCTCGATGCGCAGCAAAAACGCTATCCAAAACGAACAGCGGCCACTGTCGGACATGGCGATGCGTTGTCTCAGATGGGTAACGTCCGCGGCGATACCGACAGTGAGTCCTGTTCATGTGGGACCAGAGTTGCTGTCCTGCGGGCCCTTCTGACAACAACTCCTGACACATTGTCAGTAGTTCTTGTCCGCTTGAACAGCACACGCTGTGACATTGAAGAGATCTGCTGTCGAGGTGCCAAGATCTGCTGTCTTCTGGGCCCTTGGGGACTGCAGATCTTCTTCTGCGTGAGCAGCCACTGCTGTTGGGCGTCGTGCCACTTCATGTTCCGCCCCCATCCCGGGCGACAGCAGTCTCTCGCTCGTGCTGCGGAGCGGGGGCCGCGAGCGGGCGCCTCGGAATCCGTGCCGCCGCGCCCTCGCTCGCCGACCGCCCTCGTTCGCCGAATTCCGCCCCGCCCGCGCGGAGGCGGCCCGCGCGGGCCCGCCGCGGCGGTCACCCGGCCCTCGCCGCAGCCTGGGCCTCCTCCGCCGCGCACGGCGGCGTGGCCTCCTGCACCGAGGCGGTCGCGGCGGCGGGGGGCTCCTCCGGCTGGGCCGCGGGCGGGGGCAGCCCGAGGAATGCCGCCGCGGGCGCCGGGCCGCTCGCGGCCGTGGCGGCCCAGTCGCCCGAGGCATCGCCGCGCGGGCAAGCCGAGGCGGCAGCCACCTCCGCTGGCGGGCCAGAGAGCTCGTCCGCGACGGGGGGCAGCCACTCGTCTCCATCCCGCTGTGGCGGCGGCGCCGGCGCGGAGCCACCACAGCCTGCGTGGCTCCGAGGAGGAGGAGGAGGAGGAGGAGGAGGAGGAGGAAGAGGAGGAGGAGTAGGAGGAGGAGGAGGAGTGTCGCCAGGCCAGGGGTTCAGGCTTCTAGCCGCTGATCTGCAGATGGAGCCCATCTGAAGCTCAACTTCACACTGGCGGCGTGCAAGGAAGCAAGCCTGGCGACCCCCTGGAGTGACGAAGACTAGACTCCAAGGGGAGGGACCTCTGGCGGGGTGGTGGAATGGAAACGAAGCAGATCTCCCGCCCGCGTATTTGTCGATACGATCATACGATCCCTGTGCCAGTCTCTGGGCCGCAGGAGGGCAAGCAACGGTGTGAGCGCCGCCGTCCTGGAACTCTCCTTTTGCGCTGGGGGAAGGGCCCTGCTCTTCTTGCTGGGGCCTCCGCGGTCGAAGAAGTTGCACGAACCCGCCCACCGCGGGAGGGCTGGGGGGAACTCTGCCCCCGTTTGTCTTGCGGCACGAACGAAATGGGTACGGAAAGAACGGGGACAAAGACCGGCAACAATTCCCGTCCGTTTGAAACGGGTCTCGCGGTCGGTGTCGACGCGCATGCCGTCCATTTGAGACAGAGGTCGGAGCCCAACAACGGCCGCTGTCGGTTTTGGACAACTTTTGTCATTGGGCATCGTGTTCATTCTTTCCGTGCTCGGGATTTCATAATGACCGGATCGGGGTGACACTTCCCAGACGAGCCATGTCAGATCCCCTCAGACCAGCCATGAGAGGGCGGCCTTGAGCCCAGACCCCCTAGAACCCTCCAAGACGGCTCAATCAGACCCCCCAAAAAAATCACAACCCCCTTCTTTTGATATGAAGCTCGGAACCCGTCTCAGGCGCCCAAAGACTCCCTCGGCCGGCCTGCGCAGCCCGCGGAGAGACCGGGGTTTTAGCGTGGAGAAACGCGGGCTACACATCGAGCTGCCTCCCCGATGCATCGGCGATGCGGCGCGATCCTCCGATCCCATCTGCTCGGACTCTCCTCGGCACGACGTGACGGCGCAGGGAGGGGGGGGAGGGGCCAGAGGATGAGCAACCCCCTCCTCCTCCTACCCTCCTCCTACCCTCCTCCTACCCTCCTCCTCCTCCTCCTCCTCCACCTCCTCCACCTCCTCCTCCTCCTCCTGCCCCCGATGACCCCATCTGGGAGGCCCAGAGTCCGTTCTTTCCGTACCCGCTTCCGTCGGCTGCACGCAAGAGTGACCCAAGGCAAGTGCGCGGCCAGGGGGGACCCCTTGGGGACAACGCCAGGCGCGAAAGCCGCTGCTGTCAGCGATCGGGTGGGCCCCAGTGGGCCCGCACCAACGGCTACTCCGGCGAAGGGACACTCTCACGTGCAATCGACTCCGGCGTCCAAGGACGTCGTCGCCCGGCCTGCGTAGCCCGGAGGCGGCCGGCCCGCGCAGCCGGCATAGGCCGGGGGCGGGCGCTCCTGTGGCTGCTCTGCCGGCTGCAGGCGCAGCGCCTGCCGCGGCGCGTCGCCGAACTCCCGGCGGCCCAGCAGCGCGTCGACGGGCGCTTGGCGCTGCAGGGCGTCCCTGCCTCGGAGGGAACCCAGGGGGGATCCAAATCAATCGGCACAACCTCCTCCTCCTCCTCCTCCTTCTCCTCCTCCTCCTCCTCCTCCTCCTCCTCCTCCTCCTAGGATAGATCCAGATGAGGACAGATCAGGGATCTCGGACAGCTGGCGGGTCTGGACGATGCATCGGGCGCCGCGGCCAGCCCCAGAGCGAATCGGGCCCAGGGAGACACAAACAAATCGGCACCATTCCAGGATCTCCAATTTGTCCCACATCTCGTGGATCTTCGTTTTCCCCTCCGTGTCTCCCGTATTCTGCCTTACTTATTCTCGTGGAGATCAGCGTTCGTTTGTGTTTGTGCTTGTTTTTCCCTCCTGAACCTTCCCTGCTGCTCGCCAGGTGCTCCTGGATGGAGGACCGGTAGGCCGACAGCTCCACTGGGGTGGGGATCGGCGCGCGGTGCTGGAGCTTCACCTTCACGTTGGAGATGGCCCGCAGCCACAGCTTCCTCTCGCTGAGGGTCCTGGCCGAGAAGAGGTGGTCCTCGACGAAGAAGCAGCTGCAACTCACGCCGACCTTCTCGCAACACGTCGTGCGCACGCCGATGTACAGGTCCGCTAGTGGCACCTGGCAGCGCTCGTTCTCGTAGACTGACAGCCTGGCCCGATCCCCGCTTTGGGGGTGCAGCTCACAATACAGCACAGAAATGAGGCCACCATCGTCGTGATGCAACAGGTAGCCCGCCATGAGCCGCGTATGGGTCTGGGGGACGGCCTTAAGTGGCCCGAGAGCGACGCGAAAAGGCGGGAACAACGACTGGGTCACCACACGTACCGCGCGTGCGAAGTCAGCGACCCAGCTGGAGCGCTCATCTTCTGCGTCTTCATATGTGCCGCTTCCGCAGATGCCGAAATTCGCTGGCTCATCGAACCAAATGCGTGTTAGACATGGGTCGGGACGGGAACGGAAAGAGCGCTTCAGGAACTTGCCCGAGATGGCTCATGGCACCCTTCGCTCTTCGGAACCTCGGTGCTGAAAGCTTGTGACGTCACCGCTCTCTGTTGGGAGCCCCGGTGTTCAGAGACCGTTGCCCTGCCGCTGCCTCCTGGGAGCCTTGCATTCTACGCCACCGCGCTCTGGGAAGCCTTGGTGCTGCCGCTCGCTGTCGGGAGCCATGGTGCTGCTTGGCATCTCTTTGCCCGCCGTGGGGCCTTCTTGGGGGCCTCTTGGGGCCCTCTTGGGGCCCTCTCGGGGCCGCCTTAGAACGGGCCCTTCTCGCGCCGTTCTGGGGCCACACTGGGCCGTCTTGGGGCCCTCTTGGACCGTGTTCGGGCCCCTTTGGGGGCCTCTTGGGCCCCAAGGCGATCTTTGGAGCCGTTCGGGGCCGTTCTTGGTCGGAAAGAGGGAGAACCCGAAAACCCTTTACAAACCATAAGATAATCAATGACTTTTGCCTCTGTGGGCCCTGTTGGGCCGCCTCTTGCGAGCCTCTTGGGGCGTCTCGGGGCCCTCTTGGACCGTCTTGAGGCCATCTTGGAACTGTCTTGGAAGGTCTTGGAATCTCTTGAAGCGCTCTTGGGCCATCTTGGAGCCGTCTTGGACCTCTCTTGGGCCGTCTTGAGGGTATCTTGGGCTGTCCTGGACGCCTCTTGGGCCGTCTTGGGGGCCTCTTGAGGGGAGGCCCTTTTGGGGCGTTGTGCCACCCTCTGGGGCCGTCTTGGGGGCTTCTTGGGCCGTCTTGGAGCGTCTTCGAAGCCTTTGGCCGCCAGGGGGCTCTCTTGGGGACCTCTTGGGACTCTTGGGGCCCCCTTGGGGCGCTGCTGGGGGCTCTCTTGGGGCCGTCTTGGGGCCCCCGTGGGGCCGTTCTGGTGCTCTCTTGGGCCGTCCAGGGGCACTCGCGGGCTGTTGTCGGGCCCTTCTCTTGGCCGCTGGGGCCGTCTCGGGACGATCTCGAGGGCCTCTGTGGGGCCGTCTTGGGCCGTTCTCGGCCCGGAGGAGCGAAAACCGACAACCCTCGAACAACACACGCATTTTGCCTGTGCGGGCCCTCCTGGGAAGCCTCTTGGAGGCGCTCTGGGGCGTCTCGGGACTTTCCTGGCCAGTCCTCCGGCCCCAGGAGGCCATCTTGGAACGCTCTGGGGTGGTCGTGGGCTCTGCTGGAGTACTCTGGGGCCGTCCTGGGGTCCTCTCGGATCCCTCTTGGGGGTTCCCGGCGCCGTCTTGGGAGTGTCTGAGGCCGTCCTGGGGGGCAGCGCGAGTGTTGACGCCTGGTTGCGCGCCCTACCCCCCTCCTCTGCACTCTTCTCTAGAAGGGGTCGCCCCACTCGAACGTCATCACTCATACCTCGCTCTTTCCGTTACTTGGGCCGGTACGGAAACGGAAAGAGCGCTTCAGAACTCGTCCGAGAAGGCTCATGGCCCCGTTCGCTATGGGGGACCTCGGCGCTGAGACCTTTTGCACGTAACCGATCGCTCCTGGGAACCTTGGTGTGAAGAGTTGTGTGCACAACCGCTCGCTCTTGGGAGCCTTGGCGTTTGGAGCTGTTCACGTCATCGTTCGCTCTTGGGATCCTTGGCGATAAGAGCTTGTTAAATCACCGTTCGCTCTTGGGAACCTTGGTATGAAGAGTTGTGTACGTCACCGTTCACTCTTGGGAGCCTTGGCGATAAGAGCTGTTTACGTCCCCGTTCGCTCTTGGGAGCCTGGGCATTCGGAACTTTCTGGCTCACTGCTCGCTCTTGGGACCCATGGCGGTCAAAGATGTGTAAGTCACCGACTCGTGTGCAGAAGGCTTTCTGGTCACCTGGTGCTCTGGGGAGCCTTGGCGTCAAAGCTGCGTCCGTCGCTGAGCCGTCTGGGGAGGGCTTCCTCTGGGGGCTCTTTTGGGTGCCTCGTGGCACTCAAGCTCTTCAGCACCGCCTGCACCCCGCGCCCTCCGGCCGCCTGAGGCCCCGCCCGCCCGCGCCCTGTCTCCCCAATTAGTGCTTTGCGCGGCCCGCCTAGCTCTTAACCGGAAGAGGCTCGCTCTCGATCCGCAGACCAAAAAGTCTCGTGGCACTCTTGGGCCGTTCTGGCGACCTCTCTGGCCGCCTCGGGCGGCTTTGCACGTCTTGGGGCTCTCCGGGGGCTCCTTTCCAGCCCTCCTCGGGGCCTCCGGCAGCACTCTCGCGACCCCACGCGAACCCCGGCCTCGCGCCGCCCCACTTGCAGTTCAGAAGCCTCCGTGCCCTCCGCGGAAACAAGCACGAGCGCACACACGGCGCGCCCTCACATACTGCAGTCTTGCAACGCCTGCCAATTCCACTCTTGGGAACGACTTAGGGCCCTCCCGGGCCCCTCTGCAGTCGTCTTGCGGCTTTCCGTGGCCGTCCTGGGGCCCTCCGGGGACCGTCTTGGGGCAGCCGAGGGTTCCGAGCCGTCTTTCCGGCCGCTCTGGGGCCGAAAAGGAGAGAACCCCAAAGACAATGGAAGCCCTACAGTCAATCCGAATCATGAGGATGTGCGGTAAGGATACAAGGGTCTTGGAGGGCCATGTTCATGTTTTTTCGAACTAGGTTGGCGAAGGGACAAGGATGCAACGGTACCCTTGGGAATGTTGCCCATCCTTCTTACGCGGGTTGACTGTAAGGCAAATGAATTCTTTTTTTGTCTCTTCAAGCCATCTCGGGGGTCCTCTGGGGAGGCTCGTGGGCCGTCCTCGGAGCCTCTCGGGTCGTCTGGAGAGGGCTTCCAGTCGGCGGAAGTCCCTCCCAGGTGGGTCCTCTTTGGAGCCTCTTTTGGCGTTCGTGGCCTCTCCTGGGGGCCTCGTGGGGCCCTCTTCGGACCCTCTTGAGGCTCCCTGTGGCCGTCCTGGGGGCCTCTGGGGCCATCTGGGGCCCTCTTGGGAGCCTCTGGGGCCATCTTGCGGCAGCCGCGGGGGCCTTCAGAGCCGTCTTCGGTCTATCTGGGCCCGAAAAAGCGGATGAATACCCACAAAAAATGGAACATCAATGGGAAATCTATGTTTTTCGTCTCCTCGAGCCGTCTGACGGGTTCTCTAGGGAGGCTCTTGGACTGTCTCGGGAACCTCTTTAGCCGTCTGTGGAAGCTTGAGCCGTCTTCGGGCCCTCTCGGGGCCCTCTTTGGCCCTCGTGGCGGTCTCCCATGGCCCTCTGGGCTTCAGTCGCCTTTGGGCCCTCTTGGAACCCTCTTGGGTTCTCTTTGGGGCCTTCTACTGCACTCTTGGGCTGTCCTGGGGGCCTTGTGGGGTCCTCTTCGGACCCTCTTGAGGCTCCCTGTGGCAGTCCTGGGGGCCGCTTGGGCCGTCTTGGGGTCCTCTTGGAAGCCTGCTCGGCCGTCTTGCGGCAGCCGCGGAGGCGTCCCGGGAGCCTCTTGGGCTGTCTGTGGGAGCTTGGGAGCTTAGGGGCCCCTTGGGCCGTCCTGGGGCCCTCTTGGGGTCCCCTTTGCAACCCCCTTATGGTCCTCTCGGGGTGTCTTGGGAGCATCTTGGGGCCCTCTTTGGCCCCTCTTGGGGCTCTCTGTGGCCGTCGTGGGGTCCTCATGGGCCGTCTTGTGGCCCTCTTGGGAGCCTCCTGGATCGTCTTGGGGCAATCTCGAAAGCCCTCAGAATAGTATTCGGCCGATCTTCGCCCCCAAAGTTGAAAACCCACAACGCATAACAACGATTCATATCAAGACCACCCATTTTCTTGCCTCCTCACGCCGCGTGGGGGGTCCTCTTGGGAGGCTCTTGGGCCGTCCTGGGGGCCTCTTGGGCAGTCTTGGGGGGGGGGGCTTAGGCCGTCTTGGGGCCGCCTCGCGGAGCCCTGTTGGGCCGTCTTGGAATTCTCTTGGGCTGTCTTGGGGCACTCTTGAACCGCTTTGGAATGGGGCCTCTTGGGCCGATCATCTGTCGGGCCTGTTGGGCCGCCTTGGGGCGTCGAAAGCCAGAAAAGGTGACAGCCGTAAACACTAGATAATCTAAGAAATATCCAATGTTTGGCTTCCTGAAGCCCTCTTGGGGGTCCTCTTGAGGGCCAATGGGGCCGTCTTGTGACAATATTGAAGCCATCTGAGGCCATCTTCGAACGTTCCTGGTTAGTCTTGGCGTCTCTTGGAGAGCTCTTGGGCCGCCTTGGAGCCCTCTTGAACCTCTCTTGGACCGTCTTGGGGACCACTTGGTCGTTTTTGCGGGCCTCTTGGGCCGTCTTGGGTGGTGGTCGTGTTACCCAGATTCGCACGCGCTACGCCCCTCCCCTGGAACCCTTCCCTAGAAGGCTTCGCCCCACCAAAACGTTCTCATTCGTACCTCGCTCATTTCGTCACTTGGGCCGGCACGGGAACAGAAATAGTGCTTCATAACATCGGGAACAGAAAGAGCGCTTCAGAACATTTCCCGAGATGGCTCATGACACTGTAAGAGCTTTTTCACGTCACCGTCCTCTCTCGGGGGCCTTGACGTTCAGAACGTTTTACGTAACTGTTCGCTCTTGGAGCCTTGGCATTCGAAGCTTTTTGTACCACGACTCGCTTTTTGGAGCCTTGGTCTTAAGAGCTTTTCACGTCACTGTTGGCTCGTGGGCGCACTGTTATTACGAGCTTAACAGCTCGCTCTTGGAAGCCATTGGCGTTGAGAGTTTTCTACGTCACTGTTCACTCTTGGGAGCCTTGGCATTCAGAGCTTTTTGCGTCACTGCTCTCTCTCTTAGGAGCTTTGGCGTCGCGAGCTGCTTCAAGTCTCCGTTCGCTCCTGGGAGCGGTGATGTAAAACACTTTTGTTCGTCACAGTTCGCCCCTTGGCATGAAGTCGGCCTCTCCGGTCTTCTGGGGTCCTCTCGGGGCCCTCTTCGGACCCTCTTGGGGCCCTGTTGGGCCATCTGTGGGAGTCATGGGGGGCCTTGCCCGTCGTTTGTCCCTCCTGGGGCTCCCTCAGGGCTC